TCATGAAAATAAATCACATTTTATTATAAGTTGGCCAGGTCTGGTTAAGTTGGTTAATTATCATAAATGTGTAAAAATAAAAAATAAAATTGTATAAAAATTTTTTATTCAAAATATATTTTTGTTTAAAAATTTAGTATTTTAAACTAATTATTATACTTTTTAAAGAAAATGCAGATGTCTTTAATTTAAATTAGTTGTCAAATTTAATCTGAATGGGGAATTTTGAAATGTGTTTCTGTAATAAAGGAAACTGAAAAGTATTGAATATCTTTAGAAAAACTAAGAACATCTTTAAATTGCTTTTGGTGACTAACTTACAAAGTTATGTTGTTAATTGTGAGTATGAGAACCTCATATTCATAATTAACTGAAAAATTTGCTGAAAAAGTAATACAAGAAGAATGTTTATTCAGTCACAAATTTGTTTTTTGAGTTTTACATATGTCACTTTGTGATAATCAGAGGTTCAGATGATACTGTTTTACAATGTAATTTCCATATAAATCTGATGTCTTATGCTATGTACATTAGACTAAAGGTAGGCAATTAAGTTGCCATCTTGTATTAAATTAATTTAGAATGTTTTGGAAGAAAAGATCAAACTGGAATGGGATTCAAACATACATCCCTTGATTACTGTACACTTATGGTGTCACTTATGCTAATGATAATGTCTGATCTTTGATTCCTGAACTGCACAGTAAGCAGAGGTTATGAATTTGAATCTCACTCTGGATTGATATTTTCTTCTAGAATGTTCCAAATTAATTAATTTAATTCTAATTATTAAATTTAATGTGAGCTTGGTTTTCAAAGTGATAGTGGTCTCATGCTACTGAGAAGTAAGAGCTTTTTGTTTTTAAATGTCATTTTGCAGATTTCTTTCATAATCTCTATACTTCAGAAATGATTTCATGATTACTTACAAATCTCTTGCTGGATATTGCATTTTTCTTAGGATGAAAAATGTGATAGTGTGAGGTACATTGCTTCTTTTGACTGTCTTGAAGTGTTTTTTTCATATTTTTATAATTGCAAACTTGCTTGAAATATTATTTTAATTATGTTTTAGTTTCTACATTTATGTATGATTTTTATTGTTTGATTATTTTGCATTATGTTTGTCATAATCATTTTTCACTGTCTCAGATAATTGGATGGTATTTTAAACTATCATCATTTTAGTCCTTAGAAAGATGAAAGTTGTAGTAAGAAATTTGAGGACAACAAATGTGAAGTTATTTTTGAAATAATAATTGAAACTGACCATTAATGACTCAAAGGCATATAGCCTCATGTCTCAGTGACATGAATGAAGGGAGAAAACTTCAGTAAATTACTTTAAGTGATATTATAATGTGTTTTAGAGTGAAACAAGGCTGTGTTTTATTGAAGAAGCCATACTCAAAGCAAACTATTTAATTTTATGTGGATTCTGACATCAAATAAAGTTTTGGTTTAAAAAAATTGCCAGAACGAATTTAGATTTACAAAAAATATATTTCTTGGTAGACTATACATACTGGATGAGTCTATTTCATTTGGTCCTTTTACAAGTTGTTGAGGTAGTAATGATTCCACGGCGGAGTCGGCATTTTATTGTAGGCTACTCATCCACCATCCAATGCAAAAAAGTTAAAATAGTCCTGTAGCAGTGCACAATGATAAAATTAATAAATACATTTTTAAAAAATTACACAATAAAAGGTCAACTCTGCTGTGGAATCATTATTACCTCAACAGTGTGTGAAAGGACTGAATGAGATGGACTCATCCAGTATGTATAGTCTACCAAGAAATATATTTTTTGTAAGTTTTGGTTTGTTTGCAGATCCACAAAGAGAGTTTTATTAAAAATTGTGTAATTTTTGTTAATTTTTTAATTTTATTTTTGATTTTTTTTTTATTAAAAATTTGCCAGTACATGAAAGAGATCATAAATATTTGGCTTTAAGAGCTAAAATTTTAGAATTGATTTATTTACAAATTATCTTAAGATAGAAAATTTTGAATTACTTATAAAGTGTTTAATGAATTTATATAGTAAAAATATATATAACAAATTTTGTTAAATGTTGTTAAATAGATAACAATATTAAAACAATAAAATTTTCAGATAATGCTTGTATTAACACATTTTTTAACTGAGGATTAAACTTTGAATTAAATAAAAAATAAAAGCTGCACTGCTCGGTGCTATATCAATTAAATTTCTTTGCTTGCTAGTTTAAATATTTATATTTACAAAGATACAAATTAAAGAACAAATGATATCAAACAATCTATTATAAAGTGATATTTAAACAATAATTTACCATTGTATTCATACATAACTTTTTAAAACATACTTTACTTTGCATTTTTTAATGGCTTACATATTACAAAGAGCAAACAGAAGTATTTTTGGTGCTTTCCAAATTTTTTAAAACATGCAAACCATTGTTTTGGTAACTTAGATCTTTTGGAAGATGATGCAATGTGCAATGAATTACTTACACAGAAAAGTCTAGTACTGTAACTCAACTTTGAAATTAGATCAATTCAATTTAATAGGGAATTGAATACTGATTCTAAAAATGTCCTTGATTAACCTCAACATTTTTCTAGTTTTTGAGGTATTGGCAGTTAAAGTTGATGATACATGCAAGAAAAGTAAAAAATAAATTTCTTCCTCACACATGCTGTCTGTATCAGAGTGGTTAAGGCAGTGCTTCTGCTGTGAGAGGTGGCAGAATCAAATCTGTTATTTATTTTTTAAATATATAGGCTAAATACTATTTTTATGATAGAAATATACTTGTAATGCTACCTTTGTTCTGCATTTTTATTGTATATAAAATATTAAAAAGTTTTAAAGACCATAACAAATAATTATTCAATTATTCTCATATTTGAAAGAAAGCAGTATTTTTGCAGTTGCAAACTACCTCTTAAGTCACAATATATCACCTTCCTCACTTTTCTCAGCAGATTTTTTAATATTTTTTTTTTTATTACAAAATAAACATTTATGGCCTTCTTTTGCAGCTTGCCTCAGGTTATTAAACAAAAAAACTAGAAGCTAAACAATGAATAAATGTATTTTTATAACAGCATTTTTTAGAAAAAAAAAGTCAATTATAGATAGAACTTTCTACATTAAAATAGTATTTTAAGCTATTTTCATGCCCAGTTCTTTTATCTTCTAGTTTTTCATTCAATGACCTGAGGCAAGCCATTAATTAACCACTCCTCTACAGAGGACATGCTTTGGGATGCGGTTTTTTTTTTATCTTGCATACATTGTCAAATTTAACTGCCACTGTGTTTCAAAAACTAGAGGGTATTAAGGTAAACAAAAGCAGTTTTGGAACCAGCATTCAACTGTTATTAATTAGAACTGGTCTCATTTCAAAGTTTTGACTTACAGTATAAGCCCTTTCCTCATTTGTTTGCTCTACATTGATATACTATGTAATAAAGATGGCTGTTTTGTATTTGGAGTTTTCAAAATTCATGTCAAATCAATGAGAAAGACAGACAAAACAAGATAAATGCAGATAACCAGTAGTAAGTCAGTGAATCCAATAAGATTATTCATTTCCTAAATTATACCAGAGTGTAGGTCAATTTGTTTTCAATTACCAATAGTTATCAGGAAATATCTGAAGAGTAGTTCCTTAGCATTACATTAAAATCTTCAAAGTTGCTTAATTAATTAATGATAAATAACATTAATTTTAGACAATACAATAAATCTGACTTACAGAACCTGTAACCGATGCGTATCACTTGTTCCTTCAACAATCAAACGTTTTCATAACCCCTTCTGGGTTCTTCATCAGGATAACAGCTGGATCGAATAGCAAACAACGAATTCAAGAAGTTTGAATAAATCCGAACTTCGTAGAGTTTGAATCGTTCCATTCGCGTAATCCGTCACGAGATATGATTGAAATTGTTCTAATTCGACGGTCGATGTTCAAATTTAAGAGAAAGATACAAAACGTGTTATTGAGATATATAGATTATTTAATATTCTCATGTTCCCTAATATCATTTAATTTTAAGGCTTAATATAATTTCGTTATCACTCTTTATGGAGTAGGTTTTGCCACGCCATGGAAAGGCCGATCTCATCGCTTGAATTAACATACTCGGATTTGTCATATGCCCTAAAAATTTCCATCTCTTCTAGCCATCTTAGTTGGTGAATACGTGGTGTGGAAGCAATTATCTGTGCTCTATTGAAGTCCGCCACTATATCGGCCACTTAAAAGAGCATATTTTGGATATACATCACAACAGACACACAACCTCACTCTCCACCTATGCCACTGATCCCGATATAGTAGGGGACTTCGATAGAACACAGATAATTGCCTCCACACCACGTATTCACCAACTAAGATGGCTAGAAGAGATGGAAATTTTTAGGGCATATGACAAATCCGAGTATGTTAATTCAAGAGATGAGATCGGCCTTTCCATGGCGTGGCAAAACCTACTCCATAAAGAGTGATAACGAAATTATATTAAGCCTTAAAATTAAATGATATTAGGGAACATGAGAATATTAAATAATCTATATATCTCAATAACACGTTTTGTATCTTTCTCTTAAATTTGAACATCGACCGTCGAATTAGAACAATTTCAATCATATCTCGTGACGGATTACGCGAATGGAACGATTCAAACTCTACGAAGTTCGGATTTATTCAAACTTCTTGAATTCGTTGTTTGCTATTCGATCCAGCTGTTATCCTGATGAAGAACCCAGAAGGGGTTATGAAAACGTTTGATTGTTGAAGGAACAAGTGATACACATCGGTTACAGGTTCTGTAAGTCAGATGTATTGTATTGTATACAACCCGATGTGCAGTTGATATTATATAATTAATTTTAGACTAATATATAATGTTTTGGACAAGACTATTTCACTAAGCCATCTATATCTTTTAATTCTTTATCATTATTTTTAATTATTCATACTTAATCTTTTTAAAATATACAGGCAGTTATTTTGTCAAGGACATACTGGCATTAATTTTGACAAATATGAAGATATACCTGTTGAAGCAACTGGTGAAGAATGTCCTTCTCATATCAATGCAGTAAGTATATAATCATATCAATATTGAGTGAAATATTTAGTTTTCCTAACCTAATGCTATATTTAAAATTTTAATGTGTATTTTATTACTATGTAAGAGTAAAAGTAATTGTTGATTCTTATAAATTCTAAATAATGAAACAGTTTTTTGGAATTGATTTTAAAGTCAAATCTGAATTTATATTCATCTTTCAATGAATAGTTTATTTTTACTTATGTAATTCAACATTGTTCTTTAGTCTATATAGTTTTTTCTGTTGAGGTTATATAGTTCTCTCTCACAATAACTGGTTAAGATGTTTTGACACTACTAAAATTTTTAATATTATTTTTAATTACTTATAATTTGCTGAACATTGCTAGCATCAATGTATTGTGCATCTTTAGAGGTAATCATGAAGAAATACAAAGAGACAAGATTTTAAAAGAAATATGACCTGAAAACTAGAAATCTCATATTTTCTGATCTGATATCCCAAATACTCCATCTAAAATATGGAGGTAAAGAGTTGAGAGTTTGGAAGTTGGAAAATTTTAAAACAAAAGTGAAGTACACTTTACGCCAACATTTAACTGTATAATGTAATTACACTTGCATGTTGTGGCATTACCAACAGTGACTTTTAGAGTGTAAATGAGTTCACAAGCACTTTCGATAGCATAAAGCTACCATTGTCAGGTGAATGTTGAATACAACTGTTTTCAAATTCTGAGCTTTTGAACAACTTATGAAATTATATGAAGTGCATGGATGGAATACCAACATAAATTTGAAATAGAATAAAAATTCAAAAATGTTTTTTGAACAGCATCAATGATGGTATCAATGATATCTTTGGTATCAATGATGTATAGTTGGCACATCAGCTGCTGGAAATAGCATGAATAATATTTATTTAAACTGAATTTTTATTAGGTTAATTTTTGTTAAATAAATATACAAAATGTGAAGTATTAGCAACATTTTTAAGGAGTTATTGTTAGTGGCGTACAGTGATTGTTAGGAGTGTGTTCCACTTTGTTTTAGCATTCTTTGATAAAGGTTTATATTTTATATTCATTTCTTAACACAAACCTAGTTTTGTAAAGATGTGTTTTCTATCTTAAAGAAAATATAATTATAAGCTTGCACATACATAGTTTGGTCATATAAGCTCTCAGACTTATATGGATAGAGAAACAAACTATTAAACTTTCTTCTGATAAAAGACATTATTTTACATTATTTTTCAATGTATGAGCTACTTTGCTCTACACACACTTCAGTGGCAGACAAAATCTTCAGATCACTTTTTGAAGAATGTTGGATGAAGGATGCTCAGAAATTAGGTTACTTCTAGGGATTGCAATTGCTGGATCCCTCATCCAGCAATCCAGCTGGATCCAGCACTATGGATCCGCAAATACTCAATTAACTTTCTCAATAATGGCACAAAAGTCTACGTTGTCGGCATTGCTGCTTTGCTACATGCACTATCGCTCGGCGGTGTGAGCGGCGTTGCCATTCAGTGCAGCACGTCCTACGCCACCTCTCTACAGCGCACTGCCAGCTCTTACCTCCGCTGATCTATTTGTCAGTTGACTTTCCGCTTTTGCTAAATAAAGTGTCTTTGTGCTAAATAAAATAACTAACTCTTCTCTTAGTCCTAGTGCATAATTCTAACTTACGGTCGGTTGTGACGTCAATGAATCACATGACGGAACGATCGCAGTTTAAGCCTACGGGGAGCTGCAGCTTTGCGGCTTGTCCACGAAACCTAACCTATCCCTCCGGGAGATGACTGTCACTAGCTAATAGAAAACTTTTTATTTCAGCTGAATCGATATTTTACTGGAGACAAAAAATAAGAAAGTTTTCATGTTTTTTTTTGCGATCACACGATGATCGGGAGTTGAGTTGCTCTCTCTGCTAAGCCTATCGCATGTTTAGCAGGCAGTCTGGCAGATATTGATGCCGACATGCTTCTATTGCTTGCGGTCAGCTAGTACTATGCCTTTAAGGATTGAGAAGCCCATCAAAATATTGATATAAACTACTAGACTACTACTAATTACTTACTTACTACTTTATTAACACTAATAATTAAATTACTTATAAATAACTACAGACTGATATGTAGAGCCTATATAAGAAAACTAGTAAGACTGATAGCCACTTAGCCACTGATTATCCATCCTTACATTATTATAATATAATATATTAAAGTAAATTAATTAGTAGAATTACCTTTGCTATTATTTAACTTATTACATTATAATTATAATTTAACTAAACATTTATAGTTAATTATCTCTATCTCAAGTGTTAAACCGAACCAAAGTTAAGTTTGCTACCTAACTGTGTAAGAAGTTTTACTGATTTATAGTGACCAGTCTAAATAATAAAAGTTTCTTAAGTATTTAAAAAAAATGTTTTATTTCTTGTTTTATTTTAAAAAAAAACCATAAATTGCTGGATAGATAGATAACACTTTATTGCACCAAAAATACATCCATGCTGGATTCAGCTGGAATGATGTTGGTCCAGCAAAAATCCAGCTGGATTGAAAACACTGCTGGATTACAATCCCTAGTCACTTCTTACTTCAGTTCATCAGCTGATGAGAAGTGCTGTCCAACCAAATGTTTTTCAGCTCTCAAAACAGAGCAAAGTCACTAGGAGGGAGATCAGGATTGTTTGTGAGTGTGGAAGTTTTTGAAAGCCAAATTGTTCAACTGTCAGTTTTTGACATGGTTGGTTTGAATCGGTATATTATCATAAAGGAAAAAAGGAGAACTCCTGCTGATTTCCAATGCAGTTTTGCAAACCACACTTATCAGTTAAGAGTAATAGTTGCTGTTTATTATGTTACCTTTGTCAAGAAAATCAATCTTGAATCCTTTTTGGTTCCAGAATACAGTGAGCATGGATGCTCACTTGTGACATGTTTTATTTTGGAGTTTTTGAGTTGTGAGTTTATCTAGAAATCACCACTCTACAGAAATCCACTTACTCTTAGGTGTATAAACCCACTGGTGTTTCATCTTCAGAAATGATGTTTTTCATGAATTCATTATTACATTTGTCAGGCAGTTCCAGATTATTGGAGCAACACAGGAAACAATGTTCACACATGTCCACTGTAAGATGTTTTGGAACAAAGTGGGAGCAGAGTTTCTGAACTCCCATTTTCTGCATAATGGTGTAGGTAGATCACTTACTGATGTGCAGCAGATCAGCAAGTTTACTTACTTTAATTAGACAACAGTGTTTTAAATTTTTCTTGCATGGTTCCTTATTTTCATCACAAATTTTTGCAGGTCTTTTTTTTTCTTGACCAGTCAAAAATGTTCTGCCATCCTTGTCTGAATTTATTAATCTATTTATAAATTAGTGCTATGTGATGGACAGTTTTTCTCATATGCCTGCTGTAGCTTTTTGTGAATTTCTGTATTGTCTGTTTTCAGCACTGAAAGCTTTGATACTGATATTCTATCTGCATCTCCATTTTTTTCAACTGAGACAGTTTTAATCAATATTGATATATTGATCTAACTGTGTATAATACATCTGATTGTTTTACCTGACATGTTATAACATCAAAACTTTCAGTTTTATAACTTCATTTCTACAAGATGGCACAGCTTGGCCTATATGGCCCTTGTGCCATAAAACACCAACCAACCATTTCTACAAGTTTAACTTTCAGAATAATTATTCTAGAGACTTATTATATTTTATTTTGTAGTTCATTTTATTTTTATTTTGTAGTTCATTTTATTTTGTAGTTCATTTTTTAATCATGTTTTTAAATTTTAAATGTAAATTATTGTAAATGTTAATTTTTAATTTGTGTTACATTTTTCAATTGCTTTCTAAAATTTCATATGTAAATTATTCTAACATCAACAAAAATGTTATATCCCTGTTGGTTACATTTCAAAAAATTTTAAATTAAGTTCTACTTTTAGGATTGATGCTTGGCTAAATTAGTTTGTAAACATTTATTTTTCATAATTATTAATTATTCTATGTTGTTAATTTCTTCATTGCTAATAGTAATATATAATTTGTATCAATGATACATTTAAACATTTAATGAATTTTAAAATAAATTCTAATTTTGATGATATTTAAATAAAATTTTAAATGGTTTTCTTTAAATTAACTATATAACTTAAAAGTTGTCAAGAGTCAAGATATTTTGCATTATTTTTTCAATTTATATTTAATCTTACTAGAGATTCAAAACTATGATGTATTATGAAAAACAAATACATTATTATAATCAAATATAAACATTGATTAATTTATTTAGATTAATGCCAAACAATTGCTGAATTATATTGGCTATGTTAAGGCTACTATTAATAATTAAATGTCAAGTCATTTGGCTAGAGGAAGGTGTTAGGCATCATCTCTTGATAAACTTAATAATTAATTTAGAAAGTTCTGGAAGAAAAGAATTGCCCAAAGTAGTACTTGAACCCACAAGCATAACTTGCCATGTGAATGTGTTGCCAGTTACCCTATCTGAATTTTTGTCTGTTCTTACAGAACTATTAGTTTAGATATAACTGCATACCTTTAGCTATTTGTGTATATACACCATGCTGGAGTAAAGTGATAGTTGACCGTGTGCCATGGAGGGTATACAGGCCATGAGCACTGACGGTGTTTCTAGTTGGTGCCTTGAATATCCAGTATGGTCATATCTAAATTAATAGTTCTGGAAGAAAAAATCAGATGGCGTTCTAGGTAGTGTAACCGGGAACACATCTGCATTACAAGCAAGAGTTGCAGATTTGAGTCCCATTCTAGGCTGATTCTTTTCATCCAAAACCTTCTAAATTAATTATTAAATATTTATTTAATTATAGTTATAGAATTTATCAAGAGACTGTGCCTAACATCTACCTCTAGGTCAAATTACTTGACAATTAATTATTAATAGTAACATCAATATAGCCTGATATAATCATTTGGTTTTATTAAAATAAATGAATACATTTTTTTTTGTT